TTAAAAGAGAAGGATATCTTCGAAGTCGGAGGAATTAATTCAGATCTGATTGACAATACACAAACATGAAACTTACAGAAAGGTGCCATTGTACCATAGAAACCCAGAGTTAAGACAAATGCTGAGGCCAATGTTAGCAGTGCCCAGACAAGAAACTGCCCACAGGAGAGGGAGAGTTATCTGTGGCACTATGAGCTTTCTTTCTTCTTCTTCTTCTTTTTTTTTTTTTTACATTAATTCCATTGGTGAGACCTGTTGTTGAATGTGTCAAACACCATCCGACGTTTAGATTCTTTAACTTCCTGTACTGATTCTTTGCTTGTGTGGTGGTGAAGAAGTTCCTGTTAATTAATTCTGCTGTAAATTAATAAACAGGTGCTCTTGCTTTATGGGCTTGGTTAACGTGTATCTGCTCCCAGAGGTGGCATCACCTGTGGAATGTAAACAATATTAAATTTCTGAGTCTGCAAAGCTGAAGGCTGGACCCTAATAAGTTAATCAAGGGTGTGAATTCTACCCTGAATACTTTTTGGAAGACAGCCTTTCCTCTTTTTCTTCTTATTTTTTTTTTTTTTTAATTTCTCCAAGTGAATGCCCATTGTTATGACAGTGTGTATGTTTTCTTTAAGGCATTATGTATTTGAATGCTATGGATGTTAATGAATGATAAGAACCTGTCAGCAAACAATCAATCAAATAATGATGGGCCAAGACAATGTTTAGGAACCTGGGAGAATGTTAGGCATGGAAGGAATCCTGATGGACTCTTACCAAGTGTTGTCAGATCCCATGCTTGAATGCCTAGTAACTAAAAAATTCATGCACCTGGGTGGAGTGGCCTGTTCCATCCTTGGGAAGCCCTTTTAAAGAGGTTTTAGGGAGTTTCCATTCTCACCGTAGGCCCTCTGAGCTTTATGAGATCATGTGGAAGCACCAAGTTATTTGCTCTCATATTCAGGGATTTATAGATCCAAGTTCCTTCTTTAGACTGGTGGGACCAGGGAGTGCAGGGAACACAGCAAGTATGCGGCAAACAGCCTGATGTTTGAAGTCAGGTAAAATGCAGGTTAGCTGTGTGACTTGGAGCAAGTTACTTCATCTCCCTTAGCCTCTGTTTTCTCATCTGTATAATGGGAATAATAAAACTTTGCTGGATTATGAATTAGAAAATTATGAAAAATATCTAAGCTATTATCTGTAGATCCTTAGCAAATGACAGTCCCTGTGCTCATCCTTCTGCTCATCTTCAATCAGGAGAACAAGCACTTAGCAAGTCAGACAACTTGGAAGCCTCTTCAGAGAATCCCTTGGCCCTCTTAGGTTTTCTAAGACTTAACACAAGGGGATGGCTCTGGCTACAAAACACTAATTTCTTCTCATAGCCAGCTCCTGGCATCCTCTGTATCATTCAGATCTTCTTAAAAAAAAATCTCCTCCTACTTTGGGGAACTAAACTTACATCGATTATATCCACCATGGTTTCTAGGAGCCCCAACTTTCTTTTCTTTTCTTCCTCAAATCCTTCTGTTTTCTGCTAATACTTTAGTGTTGAATCTCCTCAGCTTCAGTTTTGCTATACAACATCCAGCAACTGGTTGTATCAAAGGGTTATATAATCACTGTTTAAGTACTTTAATTTCCAGGAGTCTGTTAAGTCTATACCACCCTCATCATGCTCTAATTGGGAAGTTATGTTGATCCAGACTGTGTAGGCACAAAAAATGTGTCTTGTGTGCATGGAAGGGTGTGTGTTCATCTTTTTTTGTCCAGGTATTCTGAATTTTTTAGGTAGAAAATTGACCTATATGTGCAAGGCATTATTTTTTGCATTGGTAGATAAGTGACTTCTATTGTACAACTTCCCAAAACTCAGTAACCAGAGTTATTTCATTAAAATCTAAGTCATTATAATTAGATAATAGATCAGGAGTCAGACCATCTGGATACTGAACCCAGTTCTATCAATTAGTAAGTGTAGGACATGAAGCAAATGACTTTTGCCATTTGTAACATGGAAATGATCATCTTGGCTCTGCCCACCTTGAGATTAGAAGCAGGACTATGAAATGCCACACACATGCAAGGCCTTTGAAAGGAATAGCCGTGCAAACATAACCCCACTATACGGTAGATGATAGCAAAGACTTTAGGAAGATAATTCTAAGTGAACATGAAAGTGAGAAGCAGGACACAGAACTAACCAGTGCCCTGAGATAAGATGGGTATATTGATCATTTGCGGTGATGTTGATCAACTGCAAAGATTTGAGAGAACAGTCCTAAGGATTCATTTTTGGGGGTTCTTAGAGGGAGAAGGGGGGGGTGGCAACTTTTCTAAGGCTGAGATTTCATGATTTCATGTTTAAGGCTGAGATTTGATTTCATGTCAAGGGCTGATGAACCTGACTAGCGGCTGGAACACCCATCCACAGGAAATAAGGAAGACAAGACTTAAAGGGAAGCAGGCTCCACTTCACCAAGAAGCCTCACAGTTTAATGAGAAAACTAACAGCATGTTTTGGCAACAGCATGTTGTCAGCAAAACCAGGAGAGTTTATTGGTAAGTTTAACGGACAGGTTAATCAGTCACTTAGGAGAAAACGCTAATTTGTTTCCCAAAGTGGCTACACAAATGTATACGACCCTCTACCCTCTTCCAAGGTGCAAGAGAGTCCATGATTCCCCACTCTCCCCGACTTTTGGCGCTGGCAGACTTGGACTGGGAATCTCGCTGCGGTTTTGGATCTGTGTTTTCTTAGTTACTCAAGGTGTTGTACGGCTTTTCACGTTTATTTGCCCTATGTGCTTCCTCTATTGCAAAATTCCTATCCACATTTTCTACCTGAAATTGAGGGGTTGATCTGACCAGGTCAGCCACATTTAGGCTGCCCCGCTTGCTTTTGGTTATCTTTCTCCCTCCAGAAGCTGAAGGCCAGGCTGCTGAACACTGTAACTAAACCTCCACTAGCTTCCTTACAGGTAACATTTATACGTCATCATGGTGAGGGTCCCCTAAGTTGCTTTTCAGGAACTTGGGGCAGCTCATGCTCAGTTCAAACCAGTAGAGACCACCGACCCTAATGGGACTGTGCAAATGCCCAGGAGGTGCAATTTGGAAGTCACAGTCCCAGAATCCCACCCACAAGTCGGGCTAAGACGACCATTTTCTGAACAGGTGTCCTGTGAAGAGCTGCGAGCCCCGACTACGCTTGCGCAGATCGAACCCTTTGCTTCAGGGTTCCCAGCTGCTGATCGTGGCTCTCCAGCTTTAGAGCACTGGTTCCCTGCTCATAAATATCCCGGGCTTTACCGGGTGGGAGGCAGATTTGGGAGCTGTTCTCCCACCTCCTCACTGGGCTGCCTAGTGAATGAATCTTTTCCTCTTTTGCAGATACTATTGTCACACTGGCTTTACCACGCAGGGCAGGACCAACATGGCCAGTGTCAGGCCCAGTTTTCTATGACTCATGGGAGTCATTTATACGTTCTTGAGGCCAACTCTTAGTCCCTGTGTGTATTGTGAATACCTTCTCCTAGTCAGCAGCGTGTGGGGCAAAAGAATTGGGCTCCTCCCTCCAACAAGGAATTATATGGTCCGAAAGTCAACAGTACCCAGGGTGAGGGACACTGATTTAGATCTACATCTAAATATAATTAACAAGTACTAGTATCTCAGCTTACCCTATTTTCCTGTTATGAATTAGAAGATCTCTTCATAGAACTCCAGATACATCTGGTTTGAACTCGTGCCTCAACTTCAGCTCGTAAAATGAAGAATGGATCTCTGTATGGATTGTGGTCAGCTCAAAGGTAAATTTCCTTGACACCATTAATTCAATTTCCAGGACCGTGTCCCTACTTGATTTCCCTAATAATGCCTGGTCAAGACAAAAAATTGACTCAAAGCTTGCAGGTACATGAAATACGGCCTGAGGTAGATGTTTTACTTGGTCCCTTTTTTATATTCCAACTGTACATGACCTCAGGAAAGAGACCTTTGACCTAAAGGCAAACTACAAGTGCTGGCTTGAATGTGCCAGGAATATAACAGGTGTCCAAACCTGCTGGTGACTCTTAAAACCAGCCTTCAGGCCTCACATGTGTGAGTGGTCATGGAGGTTTTGGAAAGAGATGGGAGAATACTTGCGTAAACAGATAAACTATCTGCAGATGGATATGTTTATTTTTACACAGGCAACCCAAAGCAATCATCTTTCCAGTCCAGAACTCAGTGCTCAGATCACTGTTGTTGTTGTTGCTGTTTTGGTGATTGTACTAAGAGGTAAATGTCAGTGCCTGGAGCTAAAATTGGAACCAAATTCTGTCCTTAACTAGGCATTATAGAGGTGCTTTATTCATGTGTAAAGAGTGAGACAGGTAATCATCTTGGTTCTGTGAGCTTAGGGATCATTGACAGGTGCAGAATAGATAATAATCATGAAATAAAATATGAACAGAAGGCCTTATAAGTAAATGAAATACCCCCCCCCCAAAAAAAAATCACAGTAAAGGCTGGAAGATAGCAAAGACTTTATTGGGAAGGCATCATGGAAGCTGCACTGGGAAAAAAATGCAAAGTGATCATGAAAAGAAAAAAGTCAGACAGAAGAATAGTAAGTCTATTACAAAAATTATGATTATAATGAAATGGTTAATGTGGAAAAGCCTGTGAAAGCAATTATAAAGATTTCTATTTTAGGTTAGTTAGAGGGAATGTGATAATCAGTTTTCCAAGGCTGGGACAATGGCAATAAGTCAAGGAGACTCAAAGAAGAGCTGCACCTGTCACAGAGCTCAACAGCAAATACAGACACAGAAGGTCAGGGCGAAGTCAGCTGCTTCTCACCAAGCCAAATCACAAAGCCTGTTAATCAAGAAACTGAGAGAAAGATGGTGGCAGCATGCTGGATGTCAGTAAAGTGGGCTTGTGGTAGGAACTGGGAAACTGGCAGATTGGTTGTCAGGAGGTTGTCTGTGTCAGGAGATTCCATGGTGAGAGGATCAGCAGCAGGAAGGCTGGCAGCAGCTGGATCCACAGCCCAGGTTCAGACAACCAGGCAGGCAGACGCAGGTGGGCTGGTAGCAGGTCCTGGTGCAGTAGACGGGTGCACAGCTGCTGGGCTGGCAGCAGGAGGTGTCACAGCAAGTGGGGCGGCAGCTGGGCTGGCAGCAGGGTGTGCTACAGCAGGTGGTGACAGAGGTGGGTTTCCAGCAGGTGGTCCTGCAGCAGGTGGTTGGACAGCAAGTGGGGCGGCAGCAGGGCTGGCAGCAGCTGGACTCACAGCAGCTTGGCTGGCAGCAGGGTGTGCTGCAGCAGGTGGTCTCACAGGTGGGCTGCCAGCAGGTGGTCCTGCAGCAGGTGGTCCTGCAGCAGGTGGACTGGCAACAAGGGGAGCAACAGTGGGTCATGGTGTCTGTGTGGAGGGTGGGTTTCTGTTCAGAGGTGAGTTTCCCAGAATCTGCTGATGTCTTCCAATGTGGACCTTTTATACACGGGGCCTCCAAAGTTTGGACCAATGGACAGAATTTTTCCTTATTATTGTTGACACTGTTTTCCATAATTACCAGCTGAATTAAGAAGGAGGAAGTTGTTTCCTAAGGGTTAAAACTCTTTCAATAGTAAGTGTTTAATCTGTTTCTTAATTGAGAATCACTCATTGAAACTTCTTTCAGGTAAAAGGAAGGTGCTCACATCATCAGCATCGTTCCTGCTCTGGTCACCATCTGCTCATGTGCTAGTTCCTGTCCACCTCTTCCTGTGGCTGTGTGCAGTCCATTAGAAAAAGGATGATAGTAACAAAATAATAAACATGGGATGCATTTGTGGGAAGGAGCTTGGTGCTAATATGTTCACAGTGATGAATTGAATGCATGCCTGGGTCCAAGTCTCTTCACCCACAACAGCCCAATTCAAGACTAACAGGAATCTCTGTACAACCTACTCTTCTTGTGTCTCCTGGTTCTGTCAAAAACAGCAGGAGGTGGGTGCTTGGCATGGGGTGTTTGATATGGCAGAGCAGGTGCAGAGAAAGGTGCATGAGGATTCAGAAAGCATCAAGCAGTCTATTTCCTGGGGTGACCATGAATCCTGGTTTGCCCAGGACTGAGGGGTTTCCTCGGATGTGGGACTTTCAGTAATTTACTAGGACAGTTGTGGAGAAGCTGAGATGAATCGATGACTCTAATCCTAACCCTGCTCACCAGCAGAGTCAGAGGTTTCAGGACACTGACTATGCATTTTCCTTTTTCTCACTCCCCTCCTTCTTTTATTCTCCCTCCTTTTCTTTTTTTTGACTCTTTCCTTCTATTTTTTGTTCCTCATGTTACCTGTAGTTTTTTGGAAATGCATAGTCATATCATCTATAATGGTAGCTTTATTCATTTCATAGTAATTAAAAAATCTTTTTTATCCATTCTTAAACCCTCGAGGACAATGTTGAATAGGATGGTGTGGATGTCTTTGAATATTCTTGGTATAGCAGGGACACTGCTCAATATTTTGTAATTAAGTGTGATTCTGCCTTTTTGTAGACTCTTTTTATCAGAATAATTAAGCTTTTTCTATGCTTTGTTTATTAAGATACTCTATCTTGAAAACATTGAGATTTATGAAATGCTTTTTCTTTATGTGTTGAGATAATATTATTTAGCAAATGAGACTTAAAAAATTGACAAATGTCCAAATGTTAATAATTTCTGCAAAGGAACGTGGATATGATATGTATGTGGTGCTGGATTTGATTCCCTTATATCTTGGTTAGGATAGATGCTGTCACTGCACTCCAAAACTCAGCCTCCCATTTTTACTCAGCCTCCCATTTTACACCCCAAATTTTCCACCCTCCTTTGCCCAATTTGTCTTTGGTTTGGGACTGGTGTTTTTAAAGACAGTGATCAAAACAGGTGGTCCTTGCACAAAAATAGAGAGATAGATCTATGGAATAGACTAGAGAACCTAGAGATGGACCCAACCATTCAGGGTCATCTGATCTTTGGTAAACCAAACAAATGCATGCACTGGGGAAAGAATCCCTATTTGATAAATGGTGCTGGGAGAACTGATTAGCCACAGGCCCATTGACAAAAATGGACTCTCACTAGATAAAAGATTTCAATGTAAGACACGAAACTGAAAATTCTAGAAGAAAGTGTTGGGAAAACTCATGACAAAATAGGCCTAGGAAGAGATTTTATGAAGAAGACCCCCTTGGTGGGACAGGCGTGGCAGCTCACGCCTGTAATTCCCAGCACTTGGGAGGCTGAGACACTTGTTCAAGAACCGTCTGAGCTCACGGGTTCGAGACCCTCTTGAGCCAGAGTGAGACCTCATCTCTAAAAATAGATGAGCATTGTGGGGGCGCCTGTTGTCCCATCTACTTGGGAGGCTGAGGCAAGAAAATCACTTGAGCCCAAGAGTTTGAGGCTGCTGTGAGCTATGACACCATGGCACTCTACTGAGGGTTACAAAGCGAGACTCTGTCTCAGAAAAATAAATAAATAAAAGAAGGACCCCACCCCCACCCCGGGCAATCACATCAACATCAAAAATAAATAAATGAGACAAGATCAATTTAAAAATCTTCTGCACACTTAAGGGTACAACAACCAAAACTAACGGACAGCCTTCAGAATGGGAGAAGATATTTTCATGCTATGAATCTGACAAAGGGCTGATAACTGGAGACTGCAGAGAACTGGAATCAATTAACAAAAAATGAGCAAACAACCCCATTTATAAGTGGGCAAGAGACTTGATCAGAAACTTCTCTGAAGATGATAGAGGAATGGCCAACATACACATGAAAAAAATGCTCGTTGTCCCACGTCATCAGAGAAATGCATATCACAATAACTCTGAGATATCACCTACCTTCAGTGAGAGTAGAATGCCGAAACTGCAGATGTGGCATGGATGTGGAAAGAGGGAAGACTTCTACACTGCTGTTGGGACTGCAAACTAATAACCTCTATTAAATGAAGTATGAATTCTTGAAGAATTAAAAGTGGACCTTCCATTTGATCCTGCAATCCCATTACTAGGTATTAGTCAGAAGAAAAAAATTATTTTGCCATAGAACATATCTAGTAGAATGCTTATTGCAGCTCAATTCCCAATTGCCAAGACATAGTAACAACCCAAGTGCCCACCAACCCATGAGTGAATTAACAAATTGTGGCAAATGTACGCCATAGAGTACATTCAGCCATAGGAAAACACGGAATCTTTGCATTCTTTTGTGTTTATCTGAATGGAATTGAAACACTTTCTTCTTAGGAAAGCATCCCAAGAATGGAAAAACAAGTATCCAGTGTACTTAAGAATGATACAAAACCAAGATATAAACCATTACACATCCACACAAAAGAAAAACACAAGTGTATTCTAGTGAGGGAAAGAGGACGGTCAGTCAAGGGGATGGGGAGGAGGGAGGGTGATTGGCAGATTCTCACCTAATACGCACAGTGTGAGGTTATTCAGCACACCCCCTGGGTCAAGGGCTGGAATACAACTTGAACTTGACTTTAGAAATGATAACAATACCACTTAAACATTTGTACCCTCATATTATTCTGAAATAAAAGAAAAAAAGAGGAAAGAAAATCACAACAAAAGAGTAAAGAAATACACTAGCAGAGCTATTATTGCATGTTGTGTGGGCTTGGGGAGCAACCATTCTTGTTTTAATGGCTGCGCTAGACTATCTCACAGGTCCTTTTCTGACACACACACACCGTGAGAGGAATTCTGGAGACCCTTTTAGCCAAATTGCAGATTTTGTTATTTACTTTGACCAGAGACAACAGAGTCTAGACCTATTTTCTGAAAGTAATACTTGGCCATTTCCACAACAATATTGTATTAAACTGTGAGGAATTATCTTTATCCTTTAGCTCCTGTTACAGGAAGAGGAAATTACTCCAGGGTAGGTAGGTATCAGCTAAACTCATTGAAGAGAACCTGGGGAGCAAGTGTGATTGGCGAATCATAAATAGAAGCTGGTGATAACCGACCATCAGCTGATCAATAAACACATAAAACATGAGTGCAAGTTTCCAAAGACAGACTGCTCTACTGAGTTTCACAGCTAGACTCTGGAAGGCACCAGAGAAGAAACTCTGAGTTACCTAAAAATACAGTTAGGATAACGTGTAATTTCACAATTGGCTTTTTCATGTTATGGCAGGAAAAACCAAATGAAAGTTTACACTAACTTATAGGAAATGTCACAGTTTGGATGCTACAACACAAGTGCCACAAAACAAGAACGAAGGTGCCCTTGGCTGAAATAGGAGATAAGCCCATTTATACAGAGGCCCCTTCATGAGAAGAATGGCTTCAAGATTAGCAGAATTGACACTGGTCTGGCTGATGATTTTGTGAAAATGAATGTGCATTTGCTAAACGAGACTGGGGTGGTCACCCATGGAAGTTTGGCCATAGGGGAGGCACAAATGGAGTGGCTGACAGTGCCTAATGACGCACAGTACAGGGTGGGCAAGACCATGCGTTCCGTCCCGAATGTATGAGATGCCACTAAATACTGAAATATGACTGCAGTGTTGGGTTAACTGCAATATTGGAATATTAGCTCTGGTTACCATTAAAAAAAAAAAAACAGTTGAAATGTGTTGACAAGGATGTGGAGAAGTTGGAACCCGGGTACACTGGAGGGAAATGTGAGATGGTGGAGCTCTATGGGAAACAGTACAGAAGTTCCTCAAAAAATAAAAAACAGAACTAATCTATGATCCAGGAATTTCTCTTCAGGTTATTTTCCCAAAAGAATTGGAAATAGG